CCCCAAAACCCCAAAACCCCAAAACCCCAAAACCCCAAAACCCCTGGCTTTGTGATTATTATTGAAAAGGATTAGGTTTACATACTGTTCTGATTTAGCTTTGGAAGTCTTACACTTGTATCAAACTTCTTCCTGTACTCTACAGATCTTTTTAGAAGTGACTGGATCAATGAATTACAATTTGCTTTACTATAGAAGTTAGATTAATATTTGGCAAACAGTCAGTAAAACTTTAGACAAGCTTTCTTGCAGTTAATCATTAACCAAATCTGCCAGACTGAGCTTAAGAATAACCTCATAAACAAAATTTGGACATATTCTCATAATCCCTCTTTTTCGATCACTAGCATTCATTCACATGGAAGAGGAAATTTGGTTGTTGAGGTATTTTAGAAGTTTTATAAAATTTTGAAAATAAAGTAAAAACCTACTTTTTGATCTTAAAATTATGAGGAAGAAACGATAAAGCTTTTCCTTTGGTCTTCCCAGATGTCGTGTTCTTCAACTGAGCCGAAAGCGGAGGTTTCGAGTTCAGAGAGAATGCTTTATCTGAAGGAACATGGTCTGAAGAATTTGGAGCAGATATCTTCTTCATTAAATTTGTGTCCAATTTCAAGTCCATGCCTAAAGAAAACTGTAAAATTGTGCTCTGAAGGTAACCAATTTAGAATTAGGCCTACCTGCACTCCGCTTTTGCAATGGAGTTAGTCCCAAATCGTTTCTTTGGTGACTTCAAGTTCTATTTTCTAAACGCAATTGTTAGTATTCCGAATGAGGGTAAAGAAGTGGTAGGTGTTCTAAATCATTTTTGGCTAGAACAACAATACCTCCTGAAAGCCAAGTTTTGGAAAAATTTCATCATATCCAATCTCATATTTCTGGAATTGGTAAAAAGCTTTATTAAAATTGTAACTGCTAAACGCGATTATTCTATGGGATGATCAACGGAAAATTCATAGACTCGAACTTCTTTATGTAATAAGGCAGGAACGATATGATAATTTAAGAAGAGATTTTCTGCACTTTAGCTATTTTGGTGCAATCCTAGCATGCTTTATCTGAAGGTTTTTACTCCTAACTTAGTATTTCTAATCTAACTAATAAAAATACTGGGAAAGTTACTGCTCTCTAATTCATAATGGGGAATACGACAAAGTTTGGATAGCTTTTTAGGGCCAAAACCAAAAGTGCTCTTCACTTACTGTTCTTCTTCTGTAGTGCTGGAGGTAGGAGGAGATCCCTAACATTTGGCAACATTGGAAGAGGCCTCAAATTTAGACTCTTATTTCCTCGTTGGAGTGTTCCTAATGCTATGATACTTTATCTTTTTAAAAGGAGTCTCATACTCCTCCGATGATGAATCATTCTTTTTAGAATCAAGTTTGGCTAACTTCAAAGAGTTCAATTTAGTGCTAGATGATGAGATCCTTGGCGGCAGTTTTTGGGTTAGATTTTTCTTAATGGCATGATTCAGCTGGATATGCTTCTCTGAACCTTTTCTCTGATAATTTTTGATGAAATGTCTATACAAGTTAAGATTCCTTAATTCTCACAAAATTCCCACTGGGAATACTATTTTTGGTCAAAAACCTACCCATATTTATTGATTTTTTTTGCAAAACTATTGCGGGATTGTTCTTGGATGATAAATGTAGAATATCTGTTCTTCTTCCTTTTGGGTAAGTCTACCATTCTGACTATTGTTGCTGTTCTGGTAAGCATACTGATTTGGCTTATATTAAATTATTTAGTATTTTCTATATTCTCTTCTCAAGTAGGGGTTTTGGGGTTTTGGGGTTTTGGGG